TCCACGCTCTGAAGACGAAGAAAAACAAGTTGTTTTAACATTCGAGACACTTGGTACAGGAGGGCAGAGAGCGGACATGGGACTCATGTGCGACAACAATGCTGCCACCCTCCGCGGGGAGACACTACCTCCCCCCGCTGCCCACTGCACGTCCACCCGCCGGGCAACGCAGGGTTCAGATGTCCCCCTTCGTGGCCTTGTCCATGTTGCGCGCACTGACCCGCTCTGTGGACCACCAGGCGTGTTTCTCATTCCCACTCGACTTTCCTTGGTGTTGATGACTGACCCATGACTTCATTAAAAAAATCTCTCCTTATGTCTCTCAGCTCTGACCCATGTACAACCATGGCAACAGGGAGTCTCCCAGTTTCCAAGCCTCCTCCTGAGCCCTGACCTGGGGCTGCGCCCAGGAGTGCCACGCAGGTGCCCTGACCCCCCTGGTCCTGGGAATCCCCGAGGCTCCATGTTGGACACCTTGGTTTCTGGATCCCAGGTCTCCTTTTCCGTTGTTCTCTCCTGGGGAGCATTTCCTAGGAAAAGGTCCGTGGCCGGTAACCTTTTTAGGATTCCTCACAGCTGAAAGCCTCTATTCCTTGGCCCCTAAAACATGGGTCAAGTTTTCTCGGTCAGATATTGCCCTCCGATTCTGAAGGAAGGCACCCCTGCGCTGTGTCTGCCTCCCAGAAGGAATGTCGTTTCTTCACTGTCTGAATACCAACCCCTTTCACCTACATGTTCTTCCTGGAGGATTTAGGTTCTTTTTCTTTCCATCTGGTTGTCCTGAAACTTCACAAAGTTTTTTTGTTCTTTGTGTTGGGTACTTGGTGGGACTTTCTTTTTAATTTTTATTTATTTACTTTTAATTATATATGTTAATTTCAAATAAGAAAGGAGAGGGAGAGAAACATCAATGAGAATCAAGGATCGGCTGCCTCCTGCATGCCCCCTAATGGGGATCGAGCTCACAACTCAGGCATGTGCCCTGGACCAGAATCGAACCCGTGACCCTTTGGTCCGCAGGCTTATGCTCCATCCACTGAGCCACATGGGCTAGGGCATTGGTACGACTTTCGATCAGAAACTCATGACCTCAATTCTGGGAAATGCCCTTGCATTATTTCTTTGATGGCTGCCCCTGCCCCTTCCGTTCTCCCTTTCGAATGCCCGCAGTAGGATCTTGGGCCCCATGGACTGATCACCTCAACCTTTTCTGTCATCTCTTTGTTTTTGGATCAGCTATTTGGGACACTGCCTCAATTTCACCCTTTAATTCTTCTAATTAATTTTTGATATTGGCTATTGGCCATCATACTTCTAAATTTCTATAGATGTTTAATTCTCTGAATGCTTCTTTAAAAAAACACCAGCATCTTTCC